GCATGCAGTTATGTTGATCCTAGCACTTGCCCAGGTGCCTGGGCTCTAAGAACCTCCCAGGAATTCCAACTCTAGATGCTTCCTTGGTACCACAATGGCTGCACCCATCTTACCATACATTCTCACCTCTAAGGTCCTCACACCTGTCCTGGGAGTTAAGTTGAGTGCTGAGAGTGGGTGATACTATGTATTGGTGGGCTCACATGGAGGATATGTGCAGGTCCAAACAGGGGAAGAGATGCACTCAAGGCTATCCAACAAGTTGGTGGCTGACCAGAACCTGAACATGACATGGACCTCATCTCTTACCTCTCACCTCCTCGTTCACTCAACTCTAGTCACATTGGATTCCTTAAGTGTGTCAAGCTGGTGCCCATGTCAGGTCTTTGCACTGACAGTCCCTCTGCCTGGTAGGCTCTCCCCCAACTCTCTGCAGGACTTATACCTCTGCTCACATGTCACTAAAGGAACAGACTCCCTCTTTGTCAGTCTCTCCACTTACACTACTTGATTTCTCTTCTACATAACATGTAAAGTGTTTGTGTATGTATTTCTTTGTTGTCACTCACTCCACTAGAATGAAAGCTCCAGGAAGACAAGGACTTTCTCCATTTTATTGACAACTGAATCTCTGGTGATAATTACAGTGCATAGAATAGAGTAGGCACTTAATAAATATATGTTGAAACCTCCTCACTCCTGCTCCAATCTTCCCCCTGTGCCTCTCTGCATTCCATTTAAGGCAGGGGAGGGAAGAGTGAAGGAGGGCTTAACTCAGCTGGAGGGAGGTAGCCCTGTCCCTGTGCCAGAGATATACCAAACACTCTGACCCAGGCCATGTCACCTGGGGTACGGTATGTGGCAAGGGGCTCTTATGACATACCAGGAGTGTGGGAGGGTCAATGGGGACAGAAGTTGCCTCCCATTCAGAACTCTTTTCCCCAATGCTGGCATCATCTCTGTCCTTGGACCCACTGTTCTCTTAAATCCTCTTAGATCTGTCACTCAACATTTACTGAGCACCTACTGTACACTAGGCTCAGGTTGGGCACTGGGGAGACAGAGATAAATAAAACATTGTCTCCATCCCCATGGAGCTTTCAGCTTAGTCACCATGGCAGACAAGTAAACACCACCAAGTAAGCACTCTATCAAGTGGAAGACTGACACAAGAACCAGAGGTTCAGCAGGAATGGGGCACTGGGGTAGGCATTGGTGAGGATGACCAGGTTGAGGAAGGGCAATTAGGGAAAGTTCAGAAGAGGGGGATATTTCAACTGGTTCTTATAGGATGGATCTTATAGGATGGAGGTGCAGGGATGGAGAAGGGAGACCAGCATTGCAGGCAGAGAAAATTAACTGTGTAAAGGGTTTGGTAGAAGGAAAGCAGTCAGGGTTTAGGGTAGGGTGGAACAAAGGTGAAATTGTAAAGGTAGATCAGGATTAGATGCTGAAAGGTCTTGAATGCCAGGCTAAGGAGCTTGGGCTTGTCCTGTTGGCAGTGGGCACCACCATTCCAGTGTTTTGGGGAGGGGTGACATGGTCAGATTTGCATTTTAGGAAGCTTGCCTTGCCCACCATGTATACAGTGGTTTGGAGCAGCAGGCTGGGAGGCAGGGATAGAAGTTAGGAGACTTGCGGTGGCCAGGTTGGAGACAATAGTATCCAGGACTGGGGCATGATGGTTGGTGTGGAGGGGCAGGGAAGGTTTCAAGAGCTATTCAGGAAGCAGTGGGAAGGCAAGTCAGACTCAACAGTCAGCTCCCAGGTTTCCATTGCTGGCAGGTGGAGGAACATGGGGTTGGGAAGCAGAGCTCAAGAATGATCTGGCTCCCATCAACCATGCCAGGCCCATCTCATGGCCCTCACTGACTTCGTCTTAGCAGCACTGGCCTCTCCGTTCTTCCACCATGCCAAGCTTTGTGCTGCAGGACCCTCACACGTTCTGTTTCTGCAGCCTGCAACACTGCTCCACTCTGCTACAGCCCACCCCCACCCACTCATCCCTTAGCCTTTTCTGACCGTCCACACCAATATGTAAGACTTGGATCCTCTCACAGCACCGAGCTTGTCTTGTTCATGGGACTTATCCCAATGGTAATGACCCAGTTCTGTTGCTTGTTTAGTACCAGTCATCCTACTTAACCACCAGCTCCTTCAGGGCAGGAACTCTGTCTGATGTATTTCTGGCCATCACTAATCTCTTACATGGAATTTGGTACTTAGCTGCTCATTAAACTCTTGTTAAGGAAATTTGTGGTAAATTAATGAATGGAGTTTATTTGGATGCATTGGCATGCATAATTGTTGTGGTAGTTAAGTTTGTGTGTCAGCTTGGCTGGGCCTGGTTGAGTGGTTGGGCAGCTGGATGTAGTATTTCCTATGATGAGACTGGTAATCAACTACATGGTGGAATCTACCGTGAGCAGCTGAGTAGCTGCCTTAGGGATGTGGTCTGCTTCCCGTATATAAAGAGAAGACTTGGGGAACAGTCTCTAGCTTATGGCATGCTTAAACCCTGTGTGTAGCCAAGTCGGTGTTCAGCAGCCTGCCATGTTCTGCTGATCTTCGGACTTTTAATGGACTTGAATTAATTTGATTTGGTAATATTGGGACTGTGCCTTGTTACTTGTTGACCTTGGGTTTGTCAGCCTCAGCACCCAGCAGCTGAGTGAAGAAAAGCCCCCAGCTTCAGTGGGCCAGGAGCAGGAGGCAGAGTTGAAGTCCAAGGCTGAGGGGCTTTCACCCAGCCCCTAGAGCCTGGCACTTTGAACTCAGACTTAAAGCCTTTTACAAAATTGTAAAAGAATAAACTCCTATTTGTTCAAGCCATCCCACTTGTGGCATATTCCTGTCAGAGTGGCACTAGGTAACCAGAACGATTGCTGTCCAACGATTGCTGTCCAATAATAGTTGGATGTAGTCAGGCTTACACTGTAGTTCAGTTAAACCAAAAAACAAACTCTCTGCCCTCGAATCAGATCCAACTCATAGCAACCCCTCCTTAGGTTTTCGAGGCGATATCACTACGGAAGTAGATTGCTCAATCATCCTTCCGAGGAGTGGCTGTGGGTTTGATCCACCAGCCTTCTGGTTAGCAGTCAAATGCCTTAGGCACTATGCCACCAGAGCTCCTTTAGGAACTTATTATGGGTTCATCTAGGAGGTTTTGCTGAGAAAAAAAAACAAAAAACCTTGGATAGGATGGAAAAGCAGGGCACTTCAGCACCCCAGGAGGTTGCCCATGATTTCACTCTGGACCTTAAAAGATGCAGAATTCAGGGTCCCTGGTCTCTTGCAGCAGTTGAAGGCATCAGCAGCCACTCCTGCCACATTGACAGAGGTCTAAGGTTTCCAATAAGGAAGTTGACAAATCCCTTGGCTTCCCTCTGTCCCTTCTAACTCTAACCTAAGACACTGAGCGACAGACCTGGGGACCAGGTGAGAGATGGAGAGAAGCCCAGGAGCTTCATCATGTGTAAGAGTGAAGGGCAGACAAGAGGGCTGGGTCTGCTGAGCCTGGAGGGGCCTGCCAAGGGTTCCCGCTGCTACAAAAAGCCAGAGACAGAGCTGGGACCCCAAGAAGTCTCAGGGAAGCAGACCTCTTGTGTGAGGAAGGAGTCTCTTTGCTCAAAGCCACCCAACAATAAAGCTGGAAGTCAGTGAGCTCCCTGTCATTGGAGGATGTGACTTCATGGTGAGGCTGCTGTAGGAAGTGGGGAGAGGGAGCCAAGACCCAGTTAACCTGAAGTTCCCCTCCCCTTCTGAGGTGATTATCTTGCTTTAGGACACGACATCATTGTTAAATATTTACTCTGCCTGGCGAAGCAACGGAAGGATAGATGCCATCTGCCTGAAAGGCATCTGTGGGCAGTGCAGCTTCTTGGGGGCGCTTTAGATCTAGGGCTGCTATCGGCTTATGGAGATGACTATATCTGGCCATCTTGTGTCCCCAAAGGGATTATTCTGGAACAAGAATCACTCTCATTGACTCATTGTTCTATTCCAGCAACTTTTCTGTAGGCTTGAAATCTTTCACAATAAAATGTCACAGAAAACAAAACAAAAATGACACTGATCCCCTCTGCTCCCACCTCCTCCATCCTCACAGGAGTCCTGAGAGAGAGGCAGAGCCAGAATTACCACCCCCATTTTGTGGATGGGTAAACTGAGGTCTAGTTAAGAAAAGTAGCTTTTCTGAGGTCACCACGTTGGTTGGTGGAGCCATGACTCCAACCACTTTTCTCTGCCTCTTGCTGTCTTGCAGTTGCTGTTTTTTTTTCTTGCTATTCTGCCTCCCTCTCTTTCTCTCCGTTTCTCCACTTCTCTCTTTGTTTATTATGATTTGCATGAAAGTTTATAGCGCAAACTTATTTTCCATTCAACAGTTCATACACATTTTGTTTCATGACATTGATTGCAATCCTCATAATGTAATAGCTCTCTTCACACTTCCTCCCTATGGTCACCTTTTCCCTGTATCCTTCTCTCCTGTGCTTTCCTGCCCTCTGAGCCTTCCCCCTGTGCAAATGCTGTCCTTCTGATCTCCCTTCATTGATTGCTCTAAGGAGTATACCTACCTGGTGTAATTGCAGGCCTGTCTATTGTTTGGCTGGAAGTCATGGGAGTGAGTTCAATTTCAGGCCAGAAGGGTAACTAAGGGTCTCTGCTTTTCTCTTTCTTTCTGCTTCAACTTCCTTCTCCCTCTTGCTCCAGCCCTAAGACTGGAATCAGCTTTGCAAGTTGTCTAAACTTTTCTTTACTCTCAAAACCTATCCTCCCAGGCAGAGCCAGACTCAGCTCCAGCACCACGTCACCAGGAGCTCAGCTTCTCTGCCTGGAGCAAGCCCTTTCCGGATACAGGGAGAAAACATTAATTCAGGGTGGCACTCCCAGCCTCTCCAGCTGGACCAGATAAGATAAGATAGGGAATCAGCACTATAAAGAGGCCCCATTCCTGCTCTGGCCCAGGCTCCAGCTAGCACAGACCTAGAATCAGCATGGCCTTCCGCCTGTGGGTGGTCACCTTGGCTGTGGCTGCCCTCCTGGTTGTGGACAGAGGTGAGTGGGCAGAGCATGAATTCTCTGTGGTGTGGTGTTGGTAGGTGACTTTAGGGGTAGGAGCAGAGGCAGGGCCTGGAGCACCCTGTGGGTGCTTTTGGTGCACACCTTCATTCTGCACATGCACCTTCCACTGTGGTAGGGAAGTCCTGGGCTGGGAGAAAAGACACCTGGCTCCAACCTCTGACTCTGGCTCAGAATTGTAAAAGAGGTCTGGGGCCTCAGTTTAACCATTGGTAAAGTGGGAGGGTGTTCTAGTTCAAAGCTGCACTGAACAGCTATTAGGCGAGATGTGAGACACAAAGAGGGAGGAGGCCAGGCCCCAGTCCTTAGGGAAGACAGTTAAGTTGGTTGCAGGGTGGTGGGTACTGAGGGAGGCCTGGCCTGGCTCCTGTGAGCACCCATTCTGCTCTGACAGGTTATGGTTTGGGACTAAGAGCAGCTGTGGAAGCCCACGGGCCTCCTTGCTCTGAGCTGGACACATGTGGCTGGAGTGGGGCCTCCCCCGAGTTTCTTCTCTGTAGCCACACATCTACCGTGTGGCAGGCACTGTCAGGGTGACCAAAATATAGAAAAATTACTGCCCTCATGGAGCTTAAGTCCAAAGGGGGCAGAAATAGTCAATAAACAAGGTGGAAATATACATAATATATTTCAATAGTATACTACCAAAACCAAATCCATGGTCATCGAGTTAATTCTGTCTCATACTGACCTTGTAGGACAGAGTAAAACTGTCCCCTAGGCTTTCCTAGACTGTAATCTTTATGGTAGACTGCCACATCTTTCTCCCACGAAGCAGCTTGTGTGTTCAAACCACTGACCTTTCAGGAAGCAGCCAAGTGCCCCACCAGAGCTCCCAAACAGCATGTTACAAGATGATAAAGTCTAAGGAGAACATGTGGAGCAGAGTAATGGGGAATGAGAAGGGGATGCAATTTTATATAGAATTTGCAGGGGAGGTCTCTGAGATGGTGATGTTTGAGCAAAACTTGAAGGAGGGGAAGGAGTGAACCATGGGGAACTAAGGAGAAGAGGATTCCAAGCAGAGAACACAGCCAGTGCAAAGGCCTGGAGTGTTTGAAATACTGCAAGGAGGCCAGTGCTGCTGTAAGGGAGTGAGGGCATATGCAGAATGGTGGGAGAGGAGATGAGAGAGGCCACCGGAAACCATGCTTTTCCTCTGAGTGAAATAGGAGCCATTGCAGGGTTTTGAGCGGAGAGTTATGTTAGAAGAGGTGCTCTGCTTGCAGACTGAGAACAGATTGAAGGAGAGAGCATGGAGATCTATTGGGATCCACCTGGCCAAAAGCTATAATGTTACAGTGCAGGGCCACTGATCTCACAGTCAGTCCTGCACCCATTTTCCCAGCTAGGGACATAAACCTCAGGTTGGCCTCATGGGGAATGGGTCTGCAGGCTCTGACCCAGCACAGCCCATTTACTCTACGCCTGGCACTCTTTCCCTGAGGAAAGACACTGAGGGAGTCTGCCTTAAGAGGGTCCTTTTCAGATTCCTGCCCAGGCTGTGTGAGTGAGGAGGCCACACTGGGCCAAGGCCAAGGGCTGCTGAGTGTCACCTGCAGGTAAATACAACTTCTTCCCACATCCTCCAGGAAGAAACTCTGATACCATAGGGTCCTGAAAATACCCCATAATGCACTCTAGTATTCAATTCCTGAGCACTCACTGCGTGCAGGCCATTGAACAGGGGGCCATGTAGGACAGAAATGAAGGAACCCCAGAGAGCTCAGGGTCAAGGGGAGGCAGAGGCTACCCAGTGAGGGGATAGCATGTAGTGTATGAAAGCAGGCAAAATCGAGGCCCATTCAGGGGGTGCTGGGGGATGCCAGAGAAGGCTTCACCTAGAGGTGGCATCTGAGCCTCAAAAGCAGGGTATGACTCAATTGAAGGAGAACAGGGATGTGGACATTCCAGGCAGAGCGAACAGCATGTGCCAAAGCAGGGCCTATTTAGGGAACAGTGAGCAGAGAAGAATAGCTGGGGTGTAGGGGACACAGAGCAATGCACTAGGAAGTGAGCCCAGGAAGGAAGTTTGGGGTAAGCTCATGCAGTGCCCTAAACATAAGATCAAGGAACTTAGAAAAGCCATGGAAGGGTTTTATATTCTTTAAGAGCTTTTTACCACCAACTGTTATATGAAATGCACAAATCTTAAGTGCATCATTCAGTGATTTTTTTTTTTTTTGACAATTGCATACACCTGTGTAACCCAAACTCCTATCAAGATACAGAACATTTCCATAACCCCAGAAAGTTCCCTCATCCCAGTCAATCCCTATCCCCTAACACATTCCAAGACAACCACTGTTCTTTCTCCACCATAGACTAATTTAGCCTGTTCTAGAGTTTTAGTTGTTGTTGTTGTTATGAGCCATCGCGTTGGACCCAACTCATAGCAACCCCTCCTTGGGTTTCCGAGGCAGTGTCACTGTGGAAGTAGATTGCCCAACCTTCCTTCCGAGGAGGGGGTGGTGGGTTTGAACCACCAGCCTTCTGGTTAGCAGTCAAATGCCTTAGGCACTACACTACCAGAGCTCCTAGAGTTTTACTTAAATGGACCTATACAGTATGTAAGGAGCTCTGGTGGCATAGTGCCTAAGGCATTTGACTACTAACCAGAAGGCTGGTGGTTCAAACCCATAAGCCACTTCTCAGAAGGAAGGTGGGACAATCTACTTCCATAATGATACTGCCTCAGAAACCCAAGGAGGGGTCACTATGACTCAACGGCAGTGAAGGGGGATACAGTATGTAGTCCTTGGTGTCTGCCTTTTCCTTTTTTTTTTTTTTTTGCTCAGCATAATGTTTTTGAGATTCAGTCATGTTGTTACATGTATCGGTTGTATGCTTGCTTTTATTACTGAGTACTACCCCAGGGTAATGAACATATCACACTTTGTTAATCCACTCTCCTGTTGAAGGACATTTGGGTCATTTTCAGTTTTGGTAATTTTGGTTTGGAAGGTGTTGAGCAGTGCAATGACAAGGCTAGATTTGAAATTGATAACCCAATGCAGGAATTAAGCAAGCACATCAGAGTTTACTTAATCTCAGATCCCTTCACCCTTTCTACAGTGCAGCAAGAGACCTTAGAGATCCTACAGGGAGCTCTGGAGCTGGGGTGGCCCCTTAGCACTGTTTGGAATACCCACATTGAGTTCTTTATATCCATGTTGAGTAGTCATTGGATATGGACTCTTCCTAGGCAGAGGAAATGACATTGGGTGAAGCAGCTCATTCTCTAAGGGTAATGCCCAGAGAGGCACTCACCTGTGAGTCATTAATACCCCCAGCAGCTGAGAATATGAGTGCCTCAGCCCTTAAGGTAGAATCTGAGCAGCTGACTACACCACCCAGTAGCGCTGACCTTCCCTCTGTTACATAATAATTGTTGTTATTTGCCGTGGAGTCGGCCCTGACTCATAGCGACCCCTCTTTGGGTTTCCAAGGCAGTATCACTATGGAAGTAGATTGCCCCATCTTCCTTCCAAGGAGTGGCTGGTGGGTTTGAACCGCCAGCCTCTGGTTAGCCTTAGGCACTATGCTACCAGAGCTCCTTACATAATAATAACAGAGGGATGTGAAGAGCAGTTAAGATGATGTATCCTCAGTGCCTGACACACAGTAGCTGCTGAATTAATTGTTATTTTAAAAATTATTATAGAAAACATAATACTTCCAGGGGGATCTGACTCATGAGGAACAGGCTGGACTGTTACCTCCCTCGTTCTACACCTTCTGTCTCTATTCTATTCAGTAACCTAAAATCACACTAACTTTTTATTAGCTCCATCATCTGATGACTCATTACCTTTCCAAGAAAAATTCCCTACCGGATAGTGGCTGGGTCAGGCCCCTGGAAAAGGAAAAGCAGTCCTTGGACCAGGGACCTGGGGCCTAGAGCTGGCATGACCTAATTCTTACTTCTCTATCTTTTAGAGGTGCTGGTGTCAGCAAGAAAGAACAATTTCTCAAGAATGGTAAGGCAGCTGGTTGTAGTTGTGGGCCCAGGCCTTTCCTCTGCAAAGAGCCCGCTCATCCATGCTGGGAAACAAGCATTTCTCCTCTCCCTTACTCGGATAACTCAGACAGCTATAAGGTAGCCAGTATGGCCTCCTGAGCCTGCATGGTCCCCAGGTTAGCTCCTCCAGGCAGACAAAGCCCCGAGCCTAGTCCTCCAGGCCCTTGGGATCTGCCTCAACCTGGTCCCTGAGGCCATTTCCAGCTGTGGATGCCCAGCATCAACAGGAACAAGTACACTCCACGCTTTGCACAGTGCAGATGGACAGGCCACAGGAGGACAAGGCTCAGGAGGTGCTCATGGTGCACTGAAATGGCCTGTGGAATGTGCCAGCTCTCCCAACCACACCTCACAACCCACCCTCTGATTCTTCAGACAAGCACAAAGTTATCTCTGAACCTGATTCTACCTTGGCCCTAGGTCTGATGTCCCCAGTGACCTCAAGAAAGTGGGGCTGGCCTCCTTGAGATTCTCAACCTTCCCCTTCCCGTCCAGCAGCCCATCTTCCCGTCTAGTAGTCTCAGCATCTGACCCTCCAGCCCATCAGAACTTGGCCCCACTCACTCTGTGCCAGACACAGAGCCATATACTTTACATACATTATTATAATTAACCCTATGTAAGAGGAATACTACTAGTATTTACAGTTTTCACAGATGAGGAAACTGAGGCCCAAAGAACTGAAATAGCTCATCTAAGATGACATAACTGGTCAGTGGCAGAATGCAGGTGTCTAGGGTCTGGGGTCTTCACTGCCACACTGCATGCCTCCTTCACATCTATCTCAGCCTAAGCCCCAATCCTAGTCCTGATTTAGCTCCAGCCCTGACCTCAGGCCTGGCCTAAAAACCTTTCAGATTGAGACTCAATCCAGCTCCAAGCCCTACTCTGTTTCCCCAGGGATCCCCACACTGTGCAATCTTCCTGCCAAGGGGCTGATAAGTAATGTATGCCAAAGTAAGTTCAGAAACCCCTGGGGGCAGAGGGGGTCCTGGGAGTGATGAGTGGTTCTATCTCCCAGGGTCTTCAATGAGACTAGCAGCAGAAGTTTCAGTTATACCTTCTGAGGAGTGTGTGAAACGGTCCCCATGAGCTTGAGTACACAAACTCTCCTCACACACACACGCATCGATGGATATACACTTGGATGCTTGCATATCCAGGTTCAGCAGACATAGGTACTCATTCATATACATGTACCCAGAGACATAGGCACACACATGGCCATGCACACACACACAAGCAAACACGCCAAAGGGCCAAATGGTCGGTTTAATGCTTTGTGGACCCACACTGGGGCCTCCTTGAATCTGGCTCCTTCATAAGGCCCCTTTGACTCCAAGCAGAGCCCCTGGGTTCCTCTCCACCTTCCTTTCCAAATCCCTGACTCCCCTCCCTCCCTGCCTCTCCTTCACAGCCCATCTGTGAACACATGGTGGAGTCTCCAGTCTGTCCCCAGACGTTCAAGCCAGTCTGTGGCACTAATGGGGTCACGTATGATAGTGAATGTCAGCTCTGCTTGGTCCGGATGTAAGTCCCCTTCCCCTGTCCACCTTCTCCACAGCCTGCTTGGGCGGGCCTCACCTCTACTGCATACAGGTATAGAAGGAGCAAGATTTGACCTGCTTTTCCCTTCACACATTCTTGGCCTAAGAAGAGTTCTCCAATATTTTCCCTTAACAGAATGAGCACAAATATAATTCAAAGTAGGCCTCTGGTTCCAGGCAGAAAGCTACAAGCTGGTGGGCAGATGGGGTGGGGACAGAAACTCTGGGTTCTTTTCCTTGTTCTGCCCCTGCTGGATGACCTCATTTATTCATTCATTCCTCCAGCCAACAACTGGAGAACTTGTTAAGAACTTACTGTGTGCTAAACAGTGGGGCTATAACAGGGTAAAATAAGCCAGACAGCATCACTGGCCTCCTGGAACTTACCATCAGTCTACAGGAAAAGCGACACTGATGGTCAGACAATTACAGCGCGGAATGCTAAATACTCAGAAGGGGGCACACAGGGTGCCATAGAAGAAGAAAAGGGCAGGGACAGGGAAGTCTTCCCAGAGGAAATGATATCTGAACTTAGTTCTGAAGGACAAGAAGAAATTAGCCAGGAAAAAGGGAATTCCAAGTTGAGAAAAGAATTTGAAAAGATCTGGAAGGAAAAGAAAGTTTGCATTTGAGGAAACATAAATTGAATTGCGGGAGTTTAAAGTTGAGGGGACGATGAGGGAGAGGTGAGAAATGAGTCTTAGAGAGTTGAGTCGGGCTAGAATATGACTTTGGTACAGTCAGTCACCTATTTGCTTTCAGTTTCTTCACTAATGAAATTCTTGGAACTAACCTGAGAGTTAAATGAGATCACGAAAGAGGAGAAAGTCCTGGGAAAGTCAAAGCTCTAGACAGATGGGCAGGAGAGAAGTGGGATATTGTCCTAACTTAGAAAAAGATCATAATGCTCATGGTTAGAAGATACATTGTGGGTAGAATTGACTGGCTTGGTGTGGGTTTGGCTGTGAGGGCTGAGGAGAGGGAGAAACAGGCTGGTTTCTAACACATGGGCTTAGGCTGCTGGTAGTACAGAGATGGGGAAATTGAAGGGTATAGCAGGCTTTGGGGTGAAAATGAGTTTGTGAAGAGTTGAGCCTTTAAGACATCCTAAGAGAGATGTGCAATGGGCAATTGCATGAGAAGGTCTAGAGTTTAGGACACTGGTCCAGACTGGAGACAGAGTATGAGGCTGTGTTATAGTTCCTGAGGAAGTGGTCTCATCACTGTCTCCTATGATCCTAGGAAAACCAAGCAGGACATCCAGATCATAAAGGATGGCAAATGCTGACTCCCACAGGAGCCCCTCCAAGAGGCATGAAGCTGAAGGCTGGAGAACAGCAGTGGTGGTGGGAAGAATGTAACATGAAAAAGAAAAAAAAAAAAAAAACAGACCAACCCAGCTAAATGGGCCAGTGTCTTTGGAAATTTTGGGAGATGTGTGTGGGAGGGGTGTTCCTCAACCCTGTCACATGTCACCTTAGAGGTCCCAGGTGTCTTCTGTCTGCTCTGAGAGGCCAGCCTCTGATCCCGTGACACTGCCCAGTACACCTGTCCATCCCAGCCTAGCTGTCACTCCAGCCAAGAGTCTAGGTAATATCTTCCCCCTCTGCTACTGCTGAGGCCACTGCCAGGGCTCATGGTCCAGCATCAGACAGCTTTTTCAAGGGTCCCACACCCTTTATGGCTTCTTCCTGGGCTGTACCAGCATTCTAAACACACATAGGCACATACACACTGGTTAAAGTATTAAGCTAGGTCTATAATAATTAATAGCTTCTGCCCCAAGCCCTTCAAGTGTCCCCTTGCATCCCGGCCACCCAGGTCCTACCTGGGAATCTCTGGGTCTCCCTACAGTTCAGTATCTAGGGTTAATTCCTGACACAGGGTGACTTTAAAACCCTGCTCTGTTTTTTTGGTCAACATCCACTCTGACAAATATTTTCACATTTGACATAGGCCAAGGCACACATAGTACATGCTTAGCTCACGTAGTGACCCACAGTGACACACAGCCTTAATAAATCCCACCACAGGCAGAGACCCCAGCCTGAGATAGATGTTAAATATGCTCTTTTTTGGCCAAAGTCTATAGGAGTAGCATTGTGATAATGGTGTCAGGGGACATGGGTGTGAAGAAAGGTCTGGTCAGGTGCAATGTTTTATCTGGACTGATTCATGCTCTGGGGTGAACAGAAAGAGCAGAGAATGTCCTGTGGTAAATCACACACACACACACAGGTCTGAGGGGAAAGTGGGGAGAGGAAAGGCAGGAACCAATACAACCTGGACCACTGAAATGGCAACACTGGGCAGGAATTGCTACTGCTAAATTCACAAGTGGCAGGGACTGGGAGGTCATCTACAAGTCCTGCATATGAATGACATAGGACTAAGTTTGGCTGTAAGAGACAGAGAACCCAAAATAAAAGTGATTTAAACAGACAGAGTCGTTCTTAGGTGGTGCACACTGTTAATGAGCTCACTACTAACTGAAAGGGAGGTCTGGTGATGTAATGTGTAAGGCATTTAACTGCTAACCAGAAGGCTGGCAGTTCAAACCCACCAGCCACTCCTCAGAAGGAAGATTGGGCAATCTACTTCCGTAGAGATGCTGCCTCAGAAGCCCAAGGAGGGGTAGCTGTGAGTCAGCTCTGACTCAACGGCAGTGAGTTGTTGAGTTTACTAACTGAAAGGGTAGAAGTTCAAGTCCACCCAAATAAACTTTGGAAGAAAGGTATGGCAATCTATTTCCAAAAAATCAGCCATTAAAAACGCTATGGAGCACAGTTCTATTCTGACACACATGTTGTTGCTATGAGTCAGAGTTGACTGACAACAGCTGGTTAAACAGAAGTTAATTTCTCCCCACATTGACCTATATTGTTACTCTGCCATCCTCATCAGTTTCCACCTCAAGCAAGAAAACTGCTCCGTTATAATGTGTACTACATTCCAAACCACATAGAGGTAGAACAAAGGACATATCACCTGGTTCTGAAGATGCTTGCCATAAGGTATATACACACAGTTTACATCCCATTGGCTAAAATGCAGTCCCTTGGCCATGACTAAAGCAAGAATGGAAAATGCAGTTTTTGTCTGGTTGGCCATGAGCTAAGCTAAAACTCAGGAGTTAATTTATTGTAGAAGGAGGAAAGTAGATTTTGGTGACTGCTTGAACAATTTCTCTCAGAAATATCAGCACAAGGCCACATAGTGCCTAAAGCACTTGACTGCTAACCAGAAGGCTGGCAGTTCAAACCCACCAGCCACTCCTCAGAAGGAAGATGGGGCAATCTACTTCCGTAGTGACACTGCCTCGGAAACCCAAGGAGGGGTCACTATGAGTCAGGTCCAACTTGACGGCACATAACAACAGCCACAACAACAAATGACCAAAGAACCATGCCACTCCATCATTTCAAACATTAACTCCTCCTCCTCTCAGTAATCTTACTCCTGCCTTAGGGTTCTATATTTTGCTATAATGTCTCACACAACTCACAGACACCCAAGGGATCATCTCACATAGTGGTGGTGGAGGCTGGGAGGCTGGCAGGCTGGCAAGTCCCAAGTCTGTAAGTAAGTCTGGAGGATCCTCCCAATTCTCGAGGTTTGATGAACCTAAAACAGGAGATCAGATGATGGCTGCTGTCCCAAATCCAGGGGTGAGATGATGATGAGCCAAAACGTTGAACTGGAGCAAAAGGCAGAGCGAATCTTCCCAGAAGATTCCTATGTATACCCTCAAGGAAGCTAAGCGTGGTGATTTGAGTTACCCCCTTCAGCAAGGCAGGACTCAAGATACACCTTCCCTGTTTTGGTTACTTCGTACTGCTTCAACAGTGGATGACACTCAGGAGTTTAAAAACAGCTTATTCAGTTGCTCATGGCAAATTCCACCAGTTGACTGCGTTATTATAGGGAATAACTACTACCAGCTGCCCAGCCAAATTGACACAGGACCTTAGCTACCACACTACCCTAAACAGGCATGGATAATATTAGGATTTACAATAAATCACAAAAATGGAAGACAATGGCTAGAAAGGCCACATCAAGTAATTCACTGCAGTGACCTCTAAGTATCTCTGGCCTAAATGGGAAGCCCCTGTTATACCAAGTGGCACAGCTTAGTGACCTGTCCTTCCCAGTCTTCCACTCCTACTCTGAGGAATCACAGAGCTTAAGCCTGAACAACCTGCCAGGGACCACACGGGAAAATACCTAATTCCACATTTTACAGATGTAGAAACTGTGGCCCATTTCTAAGAACCACCCTGATACCTAATTACGTGTGACCCTGCTTCTCTGGTCACTACTGATTAACCAAAATATTCTCCCTTAGGGTTTTCAAATTAGAAATGAGGAAATAGAGGCAGTTCCTCTCAGTCAGTAAAGCTGTAAGATGTGTGACTGGGGACTACTGGCAGCCATGTTTCCTACTCTGTAAAGCAAGACTGAGGGAATGATGCTGACATACAAAGAAAAGATACGGAGAATTATTCCAGGTAGTTTGAGTTCCTGAAGCCCAGCTTCCCTTGACCTTCCCAAAGTTATGTGGGATAAACAGTATCCTGTCACTAAATGTTCTATTTTGCCCAATCTCTGTGAAATTAGTTTTCTGGGACTTTCAACTAAGAGCCCTGACTACTACAGAAGGAGAACTTCTTGTAGGTAATGTTTAAGCTGTGCCTTGAAGGGTAAGTAGAAATCGTTGACTAACTAGACATTGTGAGAAATTTTTCCAGCTCTGTGAGGCTGAAGGATCAGTTTGTAGGATAACAGACCCTCTTCATTCACTTGCAGTAGAACTGATCATGTCCCAGGAAAGTGAACAGCTGAGAAGGGGTGTTCTCTGTTCACAGGCAGAGATGCCCTGTGATGAACAATTTTGTGGTGGGCCCTGTGTGCCAGGCCTGTCACCACCCTGCACATCGGCCTACCAGTTCATGTCTTTAGGACCTCTTCTTTCAACCTTTAAACACCACAATGGCCATGGATGCTGTAAATTCCAACACTGATAAGAGTGTTAGTGGCTAAGTGCATCTATGACTATATCAATTTCACTGTTGATAGTGCATTCAACATTTATTCATTCTCTCAATATTTACTGAGTACCTACTATACACCAATCTGCCTGCCTCCTATGTTGTATATAGATTAAAGGACTAATAATATAAAGAACTTAGAACAGTGTCTGGCACATAGCAACTTCTCATTAAATGTTGTAGCCCAAGGCTACACAGCTACTACAGTAAAACCTGTGAAAGTCTGAACCTGTGTAAGGCAGAAACTTGTCAGAGAAGGAAAATTAAAATATTTTCCACTAAAATGAGTGATAGAAAATTGGTAAGACACCACACCCTGTTAAAAGCAGAAAGCTTGTGAGACTCGGAAAAATAAGGCATCATCAAGATCCAGCTTCCAGATTTTTTTCTCAACTTTTTATTGTGATTTGGATGAACGTTTACAGAACAAATTGGTTTTCCATTCAACAATTCATATATATTTTGATTCATGACATTGAATGCAATACCAACAATGTCACAGCACTCTTCCCACTACTTCCTTGTGTTTACTGATTCCATTGTCTTTCTTTCCTATCCCTTCCTGCCTTCTGAGCTTTATTCTGGGCAAATAAATGCTGCGCTTTTGATCTTATATGGCTGGTAGTTCTACGAAGTCCATATGTTTCTGGTGTTGTTATTCACCTTATTGGCCTATTGTTTGGCTGAAAGCTGAGTCACAGGGTGAGATTGGTTCCAGGCTTAAATTATGTCCAAGGACCATAGTCTCAGAGGTTTCAACAATCTCTCAGACCAATAAGCCTGGTCTTGATGATTTTGAGTTTTGTTGCATACTTTTCTCCCACTCTATCCAGGACCTCCTAATGTGATCCCTTTCTGTACAGCCAGCAGTGGTAGCTGGGCTCCATCTAGTCCAGGTTTCAGGGTCAGCTCCCACAGAAAAATACTGAACCATTCTGATTAAATTTGGGCTGGGCTGGGCTGGCCTGGGCTGGGCCCTGAGCCTTGTCCACTTGTCCATCCCTAGCACCATGTGTTAGGTCTCAGAGTCTAGTCCTAAATACCTGGGACTTCACTGAATACCTCTCCACCAAATAATGTCTGCCTCAGAGTAGCCAGTCAGGAGCCTATCTCCTGGGCACCATGCTAAACAATGAATGGGATTATGACAACAGACCAGAGTTCTAGCACCTAAGACCACTCAGGACTTTATTAAACATAAATTCCAACTAGAACCATGGAAGGGTTTTCTTTCTTATACTTCATCAAGAAAAAAAAAAGTTTAAACACTCTTCTGTTTGCTAATGTTCAAAAGTCTTTATTAATAACAACAGAAAAAAAGGTCACAAAATGGACAGGAACAGCCCTGAAGGAAATACAGACTTCAGAAGGGTGCAGATGTTAACAGAAATGCCTTTGAAAGAAGTACACGTCATTTCTGAGCAGTTTATGGTTAGCTTCACCATCTATCTGCTTTAACTGCTCTGGCTCCCCTCTCTGCCCTTCATATACTGTGGTTCTGGCCTGGCTTCAAGCAAAGACTAAATCAAAATGGAGTTCTAACCTTCTGGAGATTTACTTGGGGACAAAGAGGTCCATCCATCAACCACAGGCCTCACCCAGGGTCACAGGGTGTTGAGGACTGGGTTTGTGAACCAACCTAGCCAACTGTTTGGGAATTAGGTCATAAGAGAGATATTTGAACTACATGTGTGCCAAACACCTGTTCTGGGCCATTCCCAACATTCCTGACTGGAAGCATCTCCCGGTGATTTGGGTTGTACATTTATGGACTATGGGATCACAAGGGCAAAAAGTTCTATGTACCTGAAAACCAGATAGCCTACAAACATGAACTATCTCAGGGCAAACAAGAGTTTCCATCAGCCCAAAGAGAGCACCCAAAGGTCAAAAGAACTAGAAAATATGGGCAAGGGAAGTCATCTCTGGACAAGTTGGGCTCTTGGACAGCAAAGCCCATAGACACAGAATAGGAAGACACAGAAGCTCGGCTTAAGTCCGCAAAGACAATGTGTTTTCATTGAGAACAGGAGTAAGAAAATTGGCAGTTGGCTAGTTGTCCCTAGTAGCCTGGAAGACATGAGGTAACTTTTAGCCCAGAGATGGCAGAGCTGAGGGTGCTGTTTTTCAGGTGACACAGGCCTCCTCTGCCTCACCTCACTCTGCCAGAGCCAAGTTCGTGGACTGCAGCCGTTCTGTCTCCTGGCCGATGCTCTGCTCCACTGTGTCACACTCAGTTAGGAATGCCTAAAAATACAAATGTAGGGGTGGTGAGGATCCATCCACGGTTAGCCAACCACTGCACACACAAGGCTCTATGCTCAGCCATTCTTGGGAATCTGTTGGTGACTGGTTCAAAACAGGCAGAGCAGGGATGGAGATGAGCACTGGCCTGGCTTCAAGGGAAAGTGAGGGAGGTAGAGGGGAACAGACCAAGGCTCTGACAATATTGAGGCCAATATTCCCCCAAAACATGGTGAGAACAGGAAGGCCTGCCTCAGGGCCACTGCAACTGCATAATTTCAGAGAGCACTGTACACATTGTATTGTATGTAAATGGTGCCTCCTGGAATTGTGGAATGTATCAGTACTACCTATTCTCCAGTGATCTTCCTCCCTAAATTGTTTCAATTCAAATATAACTATAGGGACATGAAAGAGGCTCTTCTCTGATGTTTTTAGGTTCATGATGAGAAATAAACCATCATCAAAAAAAAGTCCATATCATACATGGCACATCTACACTGCCCCTAACTTGAACATATAAGCCTACACTTATCTGTTCAAGTTAGGGGTAGTGTAGATGTGCACGCACACACACACAAACTCCAACATATCACACTTTGTACTGCTCTGCCACACAACTCACCTGAACTTTTGTCACCAAGCCTTTCCTTTTAAGTCTACTGTCTTTGAAATTTTCTGGTAGAATCTATGGAGGAATAAGTTGACACATAAACAATTGTCAGTGAAAATGACATAAGAAAATATCAGAAACATTCACAGTGCACCAAACAGGTCACCGAGTGAATGAGTACATTTTCAGGAAGCATTGTCCAGGTCAGCGTCCGGCAATAGCTCTTCCTATGGCTCTAGTCACTATAAAACCTCCCTTTGCTCTCAGTGTCTGAGCCTTAGAAACTGACCTGTAACATAGGCTTTGTTGTTTGTTGTTTTCCGTGTATGGATACTATGCCTTGGCACAACCATGAGCTCACTATGGCAATAATGTACTTTATGTTTGTTCTTTACCCCCCACAGAATCTCAAGCACGAAGTTCACCCTCAACAATGAAGCCTCAGGGTAGAGACTATTGCTATCATCTATGAAGTGGAAGATGGCACCAGCGTTTTTCAACAGCCTCACAAGATTGGGTCTAACTGATTCTATGCAAGTGATGAGCTCAGTAGAGTACCCAAACCCAAACCCACTACTATCAAGTCAATTCTGACCGATAGCAACCCTATAGGACAGAGTAGAACCAGTCCATAGGGTTTCAAGGCTGTAAATCTTTATGGAAGTAGACTGCCTCATCTTTCTCCTGCAGAACAGCTGGTGGGTTCAAACCACTGACCTTTTGGTAAGCAGCTGAATGCTTTGAGAACCACTATGCCACCAGAGCCTCATAGTCATATGAATATCAGGAAAAGTGAAGCTCTGTGTTTCTTTGATCCCAAGATAAGCCTGAACCCACGAGTCTGAACTTCATGAGGATTACAGATGTTATTAACACACATAAATATAAACGGGAAAAGCTCTACGTTGGTGGGGATATGAGTGTCCAGAAACCAGGGGCTGTCTTATTTTTTAAGTTTTCTATTCTCTCAGGACCTAGCACAGTATCTAGCACACAGTAAATGCTCATTATCCTCTGGTTGATGATTTCTCTCAGGCCATAGGAGTGCATTACTGAAAGACTGAGACTGACTGCAATACATTCATTGAAAACTAGATTCTTCTCAAATGCTATTTATTTACCAGCGTGTCAATCTCTTCCAAGATCTTCATAAACTGCTCGATTGTTGCTTTCACTCTCCTATCAAGTTTGCAGAGAGCTTCAGCTTGCAAATTCTTGGCCAGAAAACCCTGCGGAGGATTAATGCATTACTACAAGGGTTCCCTTAGGCTGACAAAACCCCTAAGCCATGAAACTGATGAAACTGCCATATCCCAAGTCCATCATTCCCTTGACTATACCAGACCTCAACACCCAGCACTTGATCTCTTGGAAAAAGTACATGGGCCAGCCCAAACACTGTACTAGCCTGCGGGCCTCTCTATCTCACGTAGCCCACTGAGGCTGCAAAGGCCTTCTGAGGCCTGGCTCCAGTAAAGCCCTCAGTCATGAGTGATTACCCACACAAAACATGCAGTGTTAGGAAAACAGGCTTTACAGTCTGACAAGCCTGTGTTTGAATCCTGTCTGCTATTTATTGGCTTGTGACCTTGAGCAGGTTACTTAACCTATCTGTGCCTCAGTGTCCTCATTTGTAAAATGGAGATTATGATATCCACACCTCTCTGGAGTCACTTTGAGAATGAGAAGAATATATACAATCATAATTTCTGACACAATAATTAATAATAAATAATCAATAGATATAATACTAACAAATGGCAGCACTTATCTTATCAAATTGTTTCCCTATAGCAGCCGTGCTAGGCACAACTGGTCTCTATGTGCCTGGAGCAACAGAGGAAGGAGAGGCAGAATAGGAGGAGGGTATGGAATGTGTGGCTAATTGCCTCTTTTGCCATTAGACCATAAAATCTGGATGGTGTCTGGCTACCATTATAGAACATTTTGATAAAAGATTCTATAGCAGAATCCTGATCAAAAGGGGGAAAATGCAGCATAGAATTTCAAATTCTCATGGACTCCAGATTTTCTGGAGCCATGGAAGCTAGATAAACCCCAGAAGCTATTGTCCTGAGATAATCTTTAAACCTTGAACCAAAAATACTCCCTGAAGTCTTCTTAAAACCAAATAATGGCTTAGCTTAACTAATAAAACATATCTGCCTTCTGATAGAGCCTGGTGAAACCCCCAAGACTATGGCCTGTTAACCCTTCAGGCCTGGAATTAAACTCACTCCCTGGCTTCCAGCCAAATAGACAGGCATATAAGGTAAACATTTATACCAGGTAGATATACTTCTCAGAACAGTCAATCATTCCTATTTCACAGACCCCCACCTGATCTCAGTTGTCTATGTATTTATCTGTAGCCAGTGTTTGGTGTTAGTGGTAATGTAGTATTGTGCATATACTAATATTTGCCACTATTGTCTTTATCTTATGTGTACGCTTCAATGTCCCTCCTTTCCCCAATGTCATCATGTTGGTCGTGCTGGGGGTTGACAAATAGGAATGTACCCTAGACCAAGGAGAGATTGACCTGAAGATAATCATACATAGATACTAGTGATATAAAATTAGCCAAACGCATTACAGAAGCATCAGAAGACAGAGTTGGAGTAACCTCTCAAGAGGCAACAAATACTTTGAGAGAGAGAATCACTGTGCCTGCCAACTCAGGACCATAGTAGTGGGGGACACCAAGCTCTATTGGCACAACATAGCACATAAAAATCTTGTTCTCCAACCTACTTTGGTGAGTAGCAACTGGGGTCTTAAAAGCTTTCGAGTGCCATCTAAGATGCAACTATTGGTCTCCTCTCATTGGAAGCAAAGAAGAGTGAAGAAAATCAAAGTCATTTGGAAACAATTAGTCCGAGGATATGATGGATCTCCAGACCAGAAGAACTAGGTGATGCCCAGCTACCAATGCCAACCACTTGGGAAGGGATCCAAACTGAAGATCCCAGATCTCTAGAGTGGGAGGAAAAATGTGGAAAAAAATTCAAAAACACAAAAATGACCAGTACTACTGGTCAGGTAAGGTCTGGTGGAGCCCTCAGGACTATGGCCCCAGGATACCACTTGGGCCTACGATTGGACTTACTCCCAAGGATTGGCTCTTAGCCCAACAGTAGAAAGACTTACTTGCAGAACATCCACCCCAGGGCGATGCACCCACTACTCTAGGGAAATATACCCCTTAGAGCAATTGGCCATGGGGTACCAGAGGGGCAGCATTCACATGGAGGGAAAGCTGGACAGACAGGAGTGCATAATTAAGAAGGGCACAGGGAGGGGGTGGTCACAGGGAAGGGAAGGGAGGAGAGTGCGTTATGGTCAGGGATGGAAATTGGGGAGTGAAATCAAATGTACACGAACTGTTGAATGTAAAACAAACTTTGCTCTGTAAATCTGTACCCAAAGCACAATTAAAAGAAAAAAAAAAAATTCATTGCAACATCATCCCCAATAGCCCCAAACTGAAAACTACTGAAATGCCTACCATTAGATGAGTAGATACAGTGAAACAGTAGACTAGCTAATAAAATAATAAAGTTATGATAATTAAAAAAACAAAAAAAAAGAACAATCAATCATGGGAGATCAGAAGGGCAGTAGTTCCACAGGGAGATAGGTCGGGGGCTGGAATGCATAGGAAAGAAGGACACAGGGAAGTGGTAACTACAGGGAGGAAGTGGAAAGAGAGCTGCTATATTGTGGGGACTGCAGTCAATAAAACAAAATGTGTATGAATTGCTGTATGAAAAATGAATCTGCTCTGTCAACTTCCACCCAAATCACAACAAAAATTACAAAAAAAGGTCTACCTTGAGCATTATGCCCTTTTAAGAATTATCTACATGGGATCAAATTGATAACAGCAATTCAAAAGATTAGAGAGGAACCTTAGAGGGCAGTGAGTTTATGTTCATGAGGGAGAAACAACTCAGAAAAGGAAGACTGAAGGAATGATTGTGTATCTCAAGAATGTGATCAATGTTGCTGAATACATAGAAATAGTTGAATTGGTGTTATGTTTTGCTATGTATATTCTCAACAATAACAAAACAAATAAATTTTAAAAATAAAAATAGCCTTGCTATTTATTCACATTGCTTGGCCAAATGACCAGTTAGCTAGTGACAAGAGGTAGACAACATGGATATTTGAGGATGTTTATCAAAGCCTGGAGGTATAGAAATAGACTTGACAACATGCAGCAAAAACTTTAAACATTACCCAGCATTTCTAACTCTAAGACTTTTACAGAAACAATCAGAAATGGTCAAAAAAGATTTATGACCTAAGGACATTGTGGTAGTTATGTTTGTGTGTCAACTTTGCTGGGCCTGGTTGAGTGGCTGGGCCGCTGGATATAGTTATTCCTCATGATGAGACTGGTAATCAACTGCATGGTGGAATCTACTGTGAGCAGCTGAGTAGCTGCCTTTGGGTATGTGGTCTGCTTCCTGTATATAAGGAGAAGCTTTGAGAATGGTCTCTAGCCATGGCATGCTTGGACCCTGTATGTAGCTGTGTCGTTGCTCAGCAGCCTGCTATGTTTTGCCGACCTTGGGACATACAATGGACTTAATGGCCTGCTCTGTGGTTTGGTAACATCGGGACTGTGCCTTTTTACTTGTCAACCTTGGGGCTTCTCAGCCTCGGCAGCCTGCAGCTATCTGCGTGAAGAAATGCCTCTAGCTCCAGTGGACTGGGAGCAGGAGGCAGAGCTGGGCCCCAAGGTTGAGGGGCTTTCACCCAGCCCCTAGAGCCTGACACTTTGAACTTGGACTTAAAGCCTCCAAATTGTAAGAGTAAACTTGTTTGTTTAAGCCATCCCATTTGTGGTATTTCTTGTCAGAGTAGCATTAGGTAACCAGAACAGACATTGAAAGAAGCATTACACATAATGGCAAAATAACAACATTCCCAAAACCCATTAATATTAAGTCGATTTCAACTTATAGTAACCCCATAGGACAGAGTAGAATTGCCCCATAAGGTTTCCAAGGCTATAAATCTCTATAGAAGCACACTGTTTCATCTTTCTCCTGCCGAGTGGCTGGTGGGTTTAAACTACCAACTTATTGGCTAGTAGCCTAATGTTTTAACCACTATGCCACCAAATCAAAAAACCAAACTCACTGCCATTATGTCAATTCCAACTCATAGCGACCCCCAGTGGGTTTCCAAGGCTGTGAATCTTTATGGAAGAGCTCCTATAACATTAAACCAAACCAAACCCACTGCCATCAAGTCAATTCCTACTCATAGTGACTCCTACTGGGTTTCCAAGGCAGTACGTCTTTACGGAAGGAGATTGCCTGATCTTCCTTCCGTGATGTGGTTGGTGGGTATTCTCACTGCTGTCAAGTCATTTTCTGACTCTTAGCGGACTCCTCCTTGAGTTTCTGAGGCAGTATCTCTATGAAAGTAGATCGTCTAATCTTCCTTCCAAGGAGTGGCTAAATGAGTCTGAACTGACAGCCTTCTGGTTAGCAGTCAAATGCCTTAGGCACTATGCCATCAGACCTCCCTAGTGGTATTAGGTGATGAATAATAGGGAATTGATTAAGTAAAAAACAACGCATTCATAGATGAAACACAATTATGCGAGCTTTGAAAAATATGATCATTTTTAATAATAAAGGAAAATGTTAAATTTTTATCCAATAAAAAGAACAATCACAATGTGTACGTAAGATCAGGCATATTTTAAAAAAAAAAAAAACCTCACATTAAGATGGAAAAATTTGCTCTAAGCTTTAATAATGGTTATCTTTGAGCTGAGGCCTTACAGGTAATTTTTATTTTCCATATTAGTGCCTATGTATTTAAAATATCTACATAATCAACAAAGGAGCTCTGGTGGCATAGTGGATGAGGCATTTGGCTGCTAACCAGAAGGTCAGTGCTTCAAAGCCACCAACTACTCTGCAGAAGGAAGATGGCGCAATATACTTCCGTAAAGATTTGCAGCCTTGGAAACCCAAAGTGGGTTGCTTTGAGTTGGAATTGACTTGATGGCAGTGAGTTTGTTTGCTTTTTGTATACAATCAATATGTATCATTTTTGGGATTAAAACATATATACATCCATTAATGTTGTAAAAAGAGGGAGAAAAATATGTATATGGTCTTTAGCTATTCCTAATCCTCACTAGGCTTCAGTACTCCATCTCCAATATAAGAAATTTAGAAGGATAACTACCCCTTACATTAAGATCATGCTTAACTTGGACCTTCTATGAGTCTACAAAATGTGTCATTCTTTGTTAAACTCACTAAAACAGACTCCACTAAGAAAAGCCACTTGTCATACTTCAGACAATGTATGATTCCAGCACAGCAGGTGCCCTCCTACGAGTATATGTAGATGCTGCCTGGGTTTTAACAGTAACACCTATAAAGTACTCAGAGTGTGTGTCAGGCCCAAGCTACATTTTAAAATCCTTGTAACAACTGGGGTCTTAAAAGCTTGTGGATGGTCATACAAGGTGCAACTATTGGTCTCTCCATGTTTGGAGCAAAGAGTGAAGAAAATAAAAAACTCAAGGAATTAATTACTGCAAAGAATAATGGACCAGGTGAACCTCAGCCTCCATGACCCTGAGACCAGAAGAGTTAGATATGTCTACCATCTACCAACTGCACTGAAAAGGTGTGCAATGGAAGGTCCTAGATAAGAGTAGGAGAAAAATGTGGAACAAAACTCTTAATCATAAAAAAGACCAGGGTTAAAAAATAAAAAGACCAGGCTTACTGGTCCGATAAAGACTGGTAGAATCTCAAGACTTATGGCCCTTAAGCACCGTTCAAGCCTGGAATTGCCCTCACCTCCGTGGCTCAACTTCCAGCCAAACAACAGACGCACCTATAAGGTGAAAAATCCCAAGCAAGTACACACTCCTTCGAACAGTTAACCATATGACATCAAAAGCGCAGCATCTGCCCAGGGACAAAGCTCAGAAGGCAGGAAAAGGATAGGAAAGAAGAATAGAAAAGGCAAACACAGGAAGAAAATGGAAAGAGTACTATTACATTGTGGGATTACAGTCAATGTCACAAAACAAAACACATATGAATTGTTGAATGGTAAACCAATTTGCTCTGTAAACTTTCACTCAAACCACAGTAAAATGTTAAAAATAAATAAATAAATACAACAACCCTAAGAGGAATGTATGACCATTATTTCTTTTTTATAAATGACAAACTTGCCCAAAGTAACAGTTTGAAAGGGTGAAGCCAAGATCTGAAGCCAGGGAGTCTGACACAGAGCCTGCCTTCATAACCACACATTATACTCCCTGAATGTAAAGTCCCCAATGTTCTTACAGAAGATGGAAAGTCAAATGCCGCAAGGAGAGTTACCTGCTGGATTCCAGCAAAATCTTTACTCAGCTCTTCCAGTTGGTTAGCTATCTTCTCCACAGCTTTCTCCAAATCTTTCAACTTCTTTAATTCAACTTCTTCCTCTGGACTGTTCTAAAATGTTTCAAAGTAAAATGAAGTCAATAATCACCAAGAACAGTAGCAGCTATTGAGAAAAAAAATAGTTGCAACCCTGCTGCTGTTTGGAAAAGCCAGCCTAGGGGTTATACATTAAAGTTTCCTATCTAGAAAGACTCTAGAGTAGAGAGGAAGTATCAGGAAAACATGCTGTGAGGACCCTGATAGCTTGGGTTCACAAAATGGAACCAATCCAAGCACCAGATTCACCCTCAGCCTGGGGATGATTTTCAACAGCTGGACTGAAGCTAGGAGGGTAAACAAATTACAGTGAACACCTCTCTGTGAGAAGTGTAGGAAGTGAGATGGGTAGAATTCTATCACTCCTTTAAATGGAATTACAAAATGTTGCCTTCCAAACAAGGGTCTCCCATTTAAAACAAGGATGATAATGATGAATACTGTCATTAAGCACACCCTATAAGGCGCTCCCACCAATTGTCTGCCAGTTTATCATACTGTGGTTGTGGTGGCTTGCGCGTTGCTGTGAGGCTGGAGGCTATGCTACTGGCATTTCAAAAACCAGCAGGGTCACCCATGGTGGACAGGTTTCAGCAGAGCTTCCAGACTAAGACAGGCTCAGACGAAGGAAGGAGCCATCCACTGCTCAAAGAATTGGCCAGTGAAAACCTTATGAATAGCAGTGAAACTCTCTCTGAGGTGTTACTGGAAAACTTTATAAATAGTCCTGAAACATTGTCCAATTTACTGCCAGAAGATGAGCCCCTCAGGTTGGAAGGCACTCAAAATATGACTGGGTAAGAGCTGCCTCCTCAGAGTAGAGCTGACCTTAAGAATGTGAATGGAGTAAAGCTTTCAGGACCACCATTTGCTGGTGTGGCATGATTCAAAATAAGAAGAAACTGCTGCAAACATCTATTAATAATCGGAATACGGAAAGTAGGAGGTATGCATCTAGGAAAATCGGAAGTTGTCAAAAATGAAATGAAATGCATAAAGATCGATATCCTAGGCATCAGTGAGCTGAAATGGACTGGGTTTGGCCATTTTGAATCAGACAACCATATGATCTACTATGCCAGCAATGACCAATTGAAGAGAAATGGTGGGTGGGGCATTCATCATCACAAAGAATGTTTCAAGATCTATCCTGAAGTACAATGCTGCCAGTGATAAGATAATATTCATGTGCCTCCAAAGAGCCTAGTTAATACTACTATTATTCGAATTTATGCAGCAATCACCAAAGCCAAAGATGAGGAAATTGAAGATTTTTACCAACTTCTACAGTCTGAAAGTGACCAAACATGCAATCAAGACGTGTTGATTATCACTGGTGATTGGAATGCAAAAGTTGGAAACAAAGAAGAATCATCAGTAAGTAGTTGGAAAATACGGCTTTAGTGACAGAAAAAATGCTGGAGATCGCATGGCAGAATTTTGCAAGACAAATGACTTATTCATTGCAAATACCTTTTTCAACAACAAAAATGGCTGCTATACACATGGACTTCTCCAGATGGAGTACACAGCAATCGCATCAACTATACCTGAAGCAAGAGGCAATGGAGCAGCTCAATATCTTCAGCCAAAACAAAGCTAGGAGCTGACTGCGGAACAGACCATCAACTGCTCATATGCAAGTTCAAGTTGAAGCTGAAGACAATTAAAACAAGTCCACGAGAGCCAAAATACAACCTTGATTATATCCCTCCTGAATTTAGAGACCATCTAAAGAACAGATTTGATGCACTGAACACCAATGACCAAAATCCAAAGGAACTGTGGATTGACATCAAGAACATCATGAAGAAAGCAAAAGGTCATTAAAAAGACAGGAAAGGAAGAAAAGACCAAAATGGACATCAGAAGAAGCTCTGAAACTTGCCCTTGAACTGAGAGTAGCTAAAGCAAAGGGAAGAAGTAACAGGATCAAAGAGCTAAACAGAAGATTTCAAAGAGCAGCTCAAGAGGACAAGTCAATTATTATAATGAAATGTGCATAGACCTGAAGTTAGAAAACCAAAAGGGAAGAACACACTTGGCATTTCTCAAGCTGAAAGAACTGAGGAAAAAATTCAAGCCTCGAGTTGCAATACTGAAAGATTCTATGAGCAAAATATTGAATGATGTAGGAAACATCAAAAGAAGATGGAAAGAATACACAGAGTCACTGTACCAAAAGGAACTGGTTGATGTTTATCCATTTTAGGAGGTGGCATATGATCAAGAACCAATGGTATTGAAGGAAGAAGTTGAAGCTGCACTGAAGGATATGTTGAAGAACAAGGCTCCAGGAATTGACAGAATACCGATTGTAAGGTTTCAACAAACCAATTCTGCACTGGAGGCACTCACTTGTCTATGCCCAGAAATTTGGAAGAGAGCTACCTGGACAACTGACTGGAAGAGATCCATATTTGTACCTATTCCAAAGAAAGGTGATTCTACAGAATGTGAAAATATTGTAGTGATATCACAATATCATTAATATCACACCCAAGTACAATCTTGCTGAAGATAATTTAAAAATAGTTGCAGCAGTATACTGATAGAGAACTTCCAGAAATGCAAAGTGGATTCAGTAGAGGATGTGGAATGAGGGATATCACTGCTGATGTCAGATGGATCTTGGCTGAAAGCAAAGAATACCAGAAAGATGTTTACTTGTGTTTTATTGACTATGCAAAAGCATTTGATTGTGTGGTTCAT